CCAACAGCGAACTGTATCTTGTAGGGAAATCTATGATTTGGACAAACCCGTGTGACGTAAACATGTTGCTAAATTTTGTACAACAGGAATCATTTAGCACTGCAGGAGAGCTGAACATATGAGGAAGGTTGAAATCACCTGCTACTATGCACACTTTGTCACAGGAAGACAGATCACTGAGAGCCTTGATAAGTTTATTTATTTATTTATTTAATATACACTGTGAGTGTGCCAAGAACAAACCAATACTCAACGATAAAAGCCGAGATGATGTAGGCCAGGTTCATAGGGAGCAAAGAGTTAATAATGAAATAGGGTCCTTACCCGTGGCTTGTGTCAAAATGTAGCAGTGCATGCAAGCAAGACTTCTCAAGACTTGAGCAACCATCCACACCAGTTGGCTATGGCGCCCTCGTTCCAGCGGAAGTCATAGGGAACATGCCAGCACTTCGGCACACGGGTATACCAACGGCCCTCGTGGAGCTGACATGGTGGATAGAAGCGGAAATAGAAAGATTTAAAAGGGCTTGCCTGCCTCGAAAAAAAAATATCGAGCACAAGCATACGGGAAAAGGAATCAAATGTGAGACGTAATCGCGGCGAACACCCCTATGAATCGAAGCCGGCACCATATGGCGTACAGCGTGGATAAGACAAATGAAACAAAATAGTTGAAAAAAAAATGCCATCCGCAGAGAGCACCATTAACATGGAGTTAGCAACAAATGTGGAACGTAAAAGCATCAAACGATCGCAACAGGAAGTATTCTTTGTACCAACCAATCGCCGTTGACCTCACCCGAAAAACATCCCCGTCTTCTGGCATCTGAATTGGCTCCATTTAGAATAAGGAGTGAAGTGAGTCCGTAATACAGATCTTCCGCAATCTGTTCTTAAACACCTTACCGTTTTCAGATCTGAGCAACTCGGGTGGCAGCTTGTCCAGCATCCTGGCCATACGACAAAAATAGGAGTTAAACATAAGTCGAATAGAATCTCTTTTGAATTTTCACGTAGCTCAAGCCAAAGCTCCCTGATCTTTCACTACAGGGTCTAAAAACCCAGTATTTGCTAGGTTTTAGCCTCGTTTCTCTTCTGAGGATCCGAAAACAAAGTGTGAGGTCATTGAGTAACCTCCTGTCTTTGAGGCTCAATAGTCCTAACCATTTTAGACGCTCCTCATACTTTGGCACGCTATTCGGTTTTGTTTTCGGGTGTACTCTAAGGTACACCAGTCTTGTGAAAGTCTGCTGTACCTTTTCCACCTTGGCTATATCTCTCTTCAGGAAGGGATTCCAAATTTGAGAACAGTAGTTTACGTGTGGTAAAACGTATGCATTATACAGTCGGACCAGCGTTTTGGGTTCTTTCAGTTGAATGTTTCGAAAGATTAGGAAAAGCGCAGCGAATGCTTTTTTAACCACCTGCTCAATCTGTGAAGGAAAATTTCAAGTCATTCTGTAACAAAACTCCAAGATCTTTGAGCTTACTGCAGCCTTCCAGAAAAGCCCCATTGATTTCATACCTCGGCGAAAGTTATCCCCCAAGTGCAAAAGGGAACACTTGTTTAAGTTGATCGTCAAGCCCCAAGAGGCGGCCCACTCCGACATTTTCGCTAGGGATAGCCTAAATGCTGCTTGAACTTCACTCTTGTTGGTAGTATCGTATGCGGCATATATTTTTATGTCATCAGCATACATCTGCACCTTCACCTCGGGGGAAGTAGTAATGTAAGCAGGGAGGTCCAATGTATATACTAAAAAAGCAACGGCGATAAAACGCTTCCCTGAGGACACCACTTTGACAGTGGTGTCTGTCAGAGAAGCTGTGACGAACCCTGACGGTCATGTATCGTTGATTTAGAAAAGATCTCAGCCAATCTAGAAGCTGCCCAGAAATCCCCAGATGCTGCAATTTGACTAGCAATCTACGGTGGCAGACCCTATCAAATGCTTTTGATAAGTCAACGAAGACAATGTCCACGGATTTTCCATTGTTCAGAGCGGATTGCCAGTCAAACAAGCTATCTAATAAATTGGATACCGTGGAGGCCCCACTTGAGAAACCATGCTGTTC